TTATGATTTCAGCAACACAGGAATAAAAGCTTATAAAATTCTAGATGATCATAAATGAGAAACAAATATTTTGCAGGAAGTAACTGTGACCTATCTGCTATCCTGAGATTTGTCTGGAGAGATCAAGAAGCAGAACAAATGTAAGTCACAACTGGCAGTATCCCAGCTGGTATTTGAACCACGTACCTCCTGACTGTATGTCTAGATCATTATTGATACAAGAGCTGACAGCTTTCATTTTGGAGTGACAAGCGTAAACTAAGAGAGGGCTATGAGACAGACTGCCTCTTCAGTGGTAGATAGATTTCATTGAAGGTTATTTCAATCGGCTCTATTATATTGTGAAGAAACAAGCCTGAGGAGCAATATGGAAGTGAAAATAAGTCAAGAGTGGGAAAACTGTAGGTTGCAGGCTGCAGACAGATAAAACTTTGAGATTACTTGATTAGGCCAATAAGTAGATAAAAGTTTAAGCACTAGGATCGAAAGACTTGCAACATTTTTCATATCTAACTACTGCTTCTTTCTGGAGACTTGTTTGGGATTTCTCTATCAGCAGTGTGCCCAGAACTGTTCCGAGGATATTTAAGGACATGACATTGCTGTGGCAGCCCTGTAATACATATGCAGTGAAACCTGAAGCCAACAAAATTTACAATATACAAATTAAATTGTGTAATATATAGTGTGGCATGTAGGCCCGTTGATAGGCAACAACCATGAAATAAGCACCTATCCAACAGCCATTCCAAACAACGGCTGTTACTACCACAGGCCCGTAAACAGCAACAGAGGAATGAATTTTTTTTTGTGCGGTCTGTGCCAAGATGTTATAAGCAGGACAAGTTATGGGTTAGTCAGTCAGTGAGTGAGGAGTGAGTCAATTGGTGAGTTAGAGGACTGCTATGGTTCAACTGTTGTGAGCTGTTGCTGTGAGAAGCTGGTAGCTGAGGCTGGGGACAGTTTGGGATACCAGAGGAAGAGAAATGTCTGCTGCTGGAAGCTGCTACAAAGCAATGGCAGTGAAGACATGACAGTGGACACTGGTGTGTGCGTGCGTGTGTGTGTGTGTGTGTGTGTGTGTGTGTGGGCGTACATGCACAAGTGCGTGCATGTGCATGTCTAACAGTGAACTGTATAATGTAGTCACATGCTGTATCAAGGAGTCCAATAAATCCAATTATCAATCCAAAACCCGTCTACAGTCACTCCATCACATGACAATACGTATAACCTGATATCAATCATCAAAATCACACACTTTCTGCTAAAATAAAGAACAAATTGGGTGCTTATTTCTTTCCATGTGAAAGTTCAAATTGTAGTAACATCAGATGTATAACAGCCCACACCTCTTAGATGGTACCAACTCTCATATACGAAAGCAGAGAGAATTCAATTTTATTAATCACATGAACCGAAAGAGAGAACAGCCTACATGCTTACTGAATGTATAAGAAAACCAGGTCCAACTGCATAAATAATACAGAGGACAAGAGAATCAGAGACTTTCACCCAAGTGGACATTAAGTGTCCACTAAAAGGTTTTGGTTGGCTTTTAACATTTCAGCTTCTATAGAAAACGCTACTGTTTCCACAGGCAACCCTTCTGCTTTAACATCATCCCTTGTTCCAATTTCAACATATTCTCAGATATTCCACATGAGAGTATTTTCCTCATAAACTGTTCACCATAGCTAGTGTTGTCTGTCACTCTTTTTAACACAATGTCAAAAGAAAATACACTCATGGCAATATAAAACCATACATTCAGTGGAGTCTCGATAATCAGACGTGTCTACAAACTGAGAACATTCTATTGCATAGGACACAATTCAATGAGGTTTTGCTTTATCCATCACATGCTCTGGCTCTCTTGCACAGCTTCATTAACAACCTGTCTTTCCCTTATCTTCAAGATATCTTACAAAGGACTGTTAGCTCATATATTTTTTTAACACTTTGCGGACTGGTGGCATATTTTTATGCCCAGCGCTTTTAAACGTGGCGGACCAGTGGCATATTATTATGATTTTAGGACACATTATGTTGAAACACACTATAACTTGCACTCGCGCCAGGCAGACGCATGACTGGTGCATGACAGACCTCTTGAATGTTTGCTTCGTAGTCAGTAACATGACCTCGCTGTTTATGACCGAACTGTTTTCCTTTCCCACTCCAAAAGAAAATGCCTTTGTTCATCTTCCAGCTGCATGCACCAGGCAGGAAGTTACTGGTGCAAAATGGATCAAGGTCGGAAGAGGTTGAGGTCCAAGCATTTTCTCGGAAAACAAGAAATATCTGTTTCGTTCTCCAATGAGCTATTTGACGTCCCTTGTGAGTCTGCTAGTGATAGCGACTCACAATCGGATGGTGAGTGTGGCAGGGGCAAACAAAAAATTGTGGCCAGAGACAGTGTAAGTGAAAGTGACAGTAGCTCCGACGAAAGTGCGGGTAGCAACACTGAGGGGACAGCCACATGGGGAAAAGTAGACAAAACATCCACTTTGGGACAGTTTACTGGAAATCCAGGGGTGAAGCCAATTCCATCGGACCCAAATCCACAATTCGCAATTCGAGCATGGTTGATGCTCAAAGGAGACATGGACAGGTAAAGAAGCCTGTTTGTATTTCCGAGTATAATATGTTCATGAAGGGAGTTGATAGAGTCGATCAGTACTTGGCCTATTATTCTCTTCCTCGGAAAACAGTAAAGTGGACAAAGAAAGTTGCCTTGTGGCTTATAAATTGTGTCATTTTCAATTAATTTTTGGTTTTAAAAAATTTAACCCTCATTCAAAATTGAAATACAAGGCATTTCTGCTGAATGTGGCCAAAGCCTGGGCTACACACCAGACGGTGGCGGCAGAACCAGTGGCAGACACAGACTTAGTGTGACCGGGTCCATCCACTCCCACCCCACGCATGCCTCATGTAGACACGCCTGGGCCACTCTCGGGTGATATGTGGAAACATGCCCTTGTGAAAACTGTGAAGAATGAACATGCCGAGGGGAAGCAGCCTTCTACACGATGCAGTGTTTGCGCAGTACACAACAAAAGGAGTATGACTGTCTACATGTGCAAGTTCTGTGTAATGCCACTTCACAAAGGGGAATGTTTTCAGAAATATCACACTCTCAAGCACTTCTAGGAGCATTGGTAAGTGTTCTCCAAAAATTTTAGTTCATAAAATTAATTAGGAGATTTTATATTAATTTTTAAAGTGAACAGTGCACAAGTTAGGGTAGTAGGTTTAAAAATTCCGGTCCCCAGGGTGATTTAAATATTTAAATCGCCGGTCCACGAAGTGTTAATACTGGAATATCAACTGATGAGCCTCTGTCAAGTAAGAAATAGCAGTCAATTCTAAAGGGTTCTGACAATGGTGTATAACATTTGGGATTACTGAATTTCGGGATTATGTTCGGGTATTCTACAGAAAATAATATTTTGGAAACTGGATCTGCTACCTTCATGAGGTGTGTTATGGCCCAAATTTGAGATTGAAGAGGGTATGGTATTACCCAAAAGCTAGAGACTTGCGAAAAGAGTTTCGCAGCTATTGCCGTAAATTGTAAACACCGGGACTGGCAATTAGGTTAAGAATGTGAAGACTCAGCAAGTCTCTGTGTACTCACAAAGCCAGAAGCTTGCCTCACTCGTACACTGGATTAATCGTGAGAGACTGCTTACGCAGCAATAAGACGCAAGGGGTCCGCCCACAACCACCCATGAGAGCCAATGAGGAGGTTATTATGAGGATTGAGGACACTGAGGGGGAGTCACCTACCCTCTTCTGTCGTCAACGCTGAATCAGCGAAAGAAAACGATAAATTAGGGAATTTCGGGGGATTTGGATCATGTTCTAACACATAATATTCGGTTGTCAGCCGAAGGCTNTAGTCAGGCAATCAGTGATTTATAGTATATATATCAAGGTTAGGGTTAGTGTGTTGTAGTAAAGATAGTAGGCGGGATTCAATACGTATAACCAAGGATAGAGTAGGTTAAGAGGTATAGGTAGTGTACTTATATATATCGAGAGTGAGAAATGTACAACTAGAAGATTTATGTTACACGAGGAGGGCTTGCATGGCCCATTAGATGAGTCCGAGAGAGAGAGAGAGGCTCCAGGCCTCCACCCCTGAAGGGGGAGAACGTAAAGAAGCAGAACGAGTAGTAAAGACTCTATGTAGTCAAGACTGAAGGACAGTCTTTGTAATATGTAAATAATGTAAATTATGTATATATATAATAATGTAAATAGACAGCTAGAATAGATAGGATAGGATGTACCGGGGTTGTGATTCATATCTATAATCAACTTTCCCACATCCGATCCCGAGTAATCCTGACCGAGCGAGGGTTGAACTGACACAGGCAGCAGTAGCAGCCGAAGACAAAGAAAGACAAACAGGGATAGGCACCTGCCAAGTCAGGCAGAGTTGAGTAGCCTAGATACCAACGCCCCTTAAGATCTAATGATAAAGTGTATTAATAAAGTATTAAGTCGCTACCTGTAAACTACGGGAGGAGTGGTCAAGGAGCTATGACTATATGCCAGGGAGTGGTGCCCACAATTGAAAGGACAGAAAATAGACGGTGGCAGCTTTTACCGAAAAGGAAACCCCGAAATAGGAGAATCCTAGTTAAAGGTGAGCTAGGATGATTGTGATAACTCCTTACAGAGCAAGTGACGGTGGAGGCAAGGAAGGATACCTCCACGGCCCCCTACTGGCGGCGTAACAGTGGTGGCAGAGGAGGCTGACTCCACGTCCCCCTGCGCACCACGAGGTGAAAGGGTGGGAGGCACCTACTCACTTGCATCTGTTAGAAAGTGATAGCCTGTATTACCTCAGTTATCCTGAGACTGAAGTTTGTACTGGCTGATATATCGAATATATGAAAAAGATTATAAAAGTGCAAAGAGAATAAAAATACTTGCAACTTTATAATACTATGATGAAAGGGTCTCATAAATTATAAAACACTCACCCAACACCATTCAGCTCCTCGAGATGAACTCCATATTGTTCACAATGTGTCTCGCCATCCAACTCTACTTTCACTGTTGCTGCTGCAGCATCCCATGTACCATCCTGAAGAGAAGCAAATACAAGTTCTAAAAGCACTACCTTTTAGCACAGCGCATTTTAAGGCAACCTACTCTTGATAGTCTATAACTAACTTTGTGGTTTCAGTCTGCAAGCAAACTATACTGAATGAGTGACCACGGCTTGTTGGTGAAGTTAGTGCCAACTTTTAGTGGATAGAGGGTGTTGCATTGTCAGCACAACAAATCCCCATGGCCGTTAATTTCGGTTTTCTAGACTGGAGCCACTATTTCCTTGAAATACCTCCTCTATTATCCTCATGAGTCTGAGTGGTCCCCGTTCCAGACCCACTACTTCTCAGAAAATTTGGTCTGGATCTGTAGCCAGGAACTCTGACCACTAGACCAGAGAGGCGGTCTTTGATAGTCTATACTGATGAAAAATGAACATGTAAACAAAAACAACAACAACAAATGCTGCTGCTGCTGCTCTAGATGTCATCATGACAAGGATGACGATATCTTGAAATCTGTAAACAAAAGCAGCTTTATGGTGTCTGCCAGACACTGTGCTACTGCTCACCTCAGCTTTGCCTTCCACTGCCAGGAAAGCAAGAGGGCATGGCAGGTCATCTTGGTCAACAACAGAGCCATCTCTTTCAGTGTTTAAGGCCAGTGGATCTAGCTCATTGTCAGCTTCTGGGTCTATGACACCATCAGGATCCAGATCAATCCCTCCATTGGGCTCCAACTTGATCACAGCCAATCCAGGCTGTAAGCAAATCATTTGCCACTCTTAATCATCACGTGACTGCAGTCTTACTATTCTGTAAGCTGTGGATACATAAGATAAAACAGAGGTGAGGAAGCATTAGTGGTCACCTGACTTCCTTTACAAAAGTCACTACGTTCATGCACAATCTCTAACATTTCCACAAGCATAACATTAATATTAATTTCTTCTACTGTAATTTTCTTGCACACAGTTTCTCATGTTTCTTATAACAGGTGAACATAACAGGTCTGCTTCTTTGCAGTCTTTGTAGGATGTACATAAAAATAAATGTGTAACAGGGAAATCAATCTGTCCATATAGCTTATCTCCAAAATCATTTAATGAATAATAGTGAAATTTGGTACTGGGCTTCTGCACCACAAAATAAGTTTCTTGTTTTAAAATAATCCCCACATCAATTTTACCAGAATTTTAAATCAAACTTTATATAATTCTCACAAAAGAAAACTATTTAAAACAGCGTTCTTAATCAGTCTGCCATGATATACTAGCACACAAGAAAGAGACTATAAGTGCCCTGGGCATTCTGAATTAAGATGCATTTCTACACATGTAACAACAGTTTACAATGTGTGACAATAAGAACACTTTCCATGTTTTATTAGAGGTAGGGCGATTATCTCAGCCTGCCACTAGTAATCCTGTGAGTCTAGCAGGAGATACACATATTCCTCATGTCAACTTTTTCTGTATATATTTGGACCTGCAGTGAGCTTAACAAGCCATATATTTGGATCTGCAGTGAGCTTAACAAGCCCACAGGAAACTAAAGTACAAAAGAAATCCACCCATACAATAGCAGATGCCTGAGATATTCCCTGCTGTCATGCATGCACCCCTTGCACCTCTGTAAAATGTTAACATCCATGTGTTGAAGTTCCTTTCCAGGAACACAGCAAACATAAAATTGAAACCTGGAACATTAAGAACCAGTCTCTTCTGCTGTGTCAGCTATGAGATTTCTGAAGAGAATACTGAAACCTAGCATTGATTTCATTCAATTTCTTTTCAGTGGGCACTTAGCATCTTAATTTTGGTTTTTGTCCAATTATGGCCATGTCTGTGTAAATTTATTTACAATAGTTTGAATTTTTTTTCTTTTCTTGGACTGTAAATCCTAAAATTTATGCTGCAACTTTCTTATTTTCATATGGGTACTGTACATGAACACTCATATTGATATATAATTCTCTCATGCCATTTTGACACAAGAAGCAAAGCAACTGACTGAATATTTAATGTGGCAGGGACTTGAGATTATGACTGTTATACATATAATTAATAGGCTTGCTTCACAGTGGCTGTTCAACAGTTCATTTAGGCAATACCAAAAACAAATTATTGGGTACATAGGCTACTGACCTATCAACTACGTCATGAGTCTGCACATGTGTAATGTCAGTTGATGCAAGTGACATGAATCCCTCCCATCAGACAAGTTGAACAATTTACTGTAGGCTTTCAGATAATCTCCTAGTAGAGTATTTAAGAATAAAGCATCATTTCATTCAATAGGAGACAAACAACTTTGTTTGAGTGTTCCACAAAAATTAAAAGATAAAAAACTGCTCATTAAGATACAGCTTAACCTCCTATTACAGACACTGGTGTTACAGAATTTTGATCTTATGGAAATTATAAAACGTGAACATAAAATTCATGATAGAGATCATAATTTCACCATTATGGAAATCTGGGGAAATACCAAATTTTTTAGAACACAAATTGTAAGACAACAAATTCAGCCAAAACCAGTTTTTAATGATTACTTCTGAACAAACTCTCATCACAGATGATGTATCAGGATATGTAGTTGGCCATTTTCTAGCCTATGTGCATGTGTCAGTGATAATAGGTGGAAGGCTTTTAATGTGGCTGCTTTTCCCATCTCATTTTAAACAGTGCAGTATACTACTCTTATTCAGATTCCCTGTCTACTGTTGACTGTTGTATGTCAACAACAGTTACACATCTGCAAATCTGAATTCTTTTGTATTCAGTTCATAACTTGCACAGAACTTCAAGTCCTCCTCAAAAGTTTTCATGCACAGTTGCAGCTAGTCAACAATTTACCTTAACTTCAGTGAATGTGAACAGTTCAGAAGTCTCTGGCCCTCTAATGATGCTGTATGAGGAATGCCTCTCAGTATCAGGCCCAAGCTTCAGTTTGTCCATCCTGTGCTGTAAAACAAGACAATTTCAGTCATCCTAGATGCCAATGGGTAAGAGGAAGGGGAAGAAGCTAGAAATCATGTTACGAATGTCAATTCTCCCATTTCTCTGCCACAACTTAATGCAGATTCCATATCTCTTACGTGGTCTGTGATATCTCCAGTTTTCCTCAAATTTTCTTCTTTACCTTCCTCTTTCTTTACATTTCTCTTCTACTTCAGTATATTCTCAACATTCATAATCTCACAACAAAACACAGTGTTATATCATGTTACAAGAACATGGGAAATGTGACACTCAAATTGTAATGTATAAAGTAAAGACGAAGTTGTCCCAGTGATTAATTATCAGGGCATAAAGATGTATGGGGGGATATGGCTTCAGTTTTGACCCCGGCACTGGCCGGAGGGTGAGTGGCCAGCTTCATACCTCAAATGTTTTACCCCAAGGAATGTATCCCTGGTGTCCATTGGATTGGAGGTTGGGTGGGCCCCAGAGCAGGTCTGGAAGAGAAAAATATCTTGCCCTGCCTGGAATTGAATCTCAGATATCTAGACCATAGCCCATTACTATACTGACTGACCTATTCTGGTTCCTTAAATTGTAACCTGTAGATAAAACATACGATCTCAAAATATGTAAACATGCCAACACAACATGCAAGAAAGAAACATACATACTGCAAATATATGTTGAAGTTTCTCCAAACAAATGCAGCACTACAGTCCAAAGTACTTAATAATCAATTTGTATTACTGTGTTCTGAAGCAGGTACAAGCACTCAATAACAATTAAACATGTCTTTAATTTGTTCTTACAGCTGGGTACACTTCACTTATGCAGCACAATAACTTGGAACATCATTAACCCTTACAGGCACAGCAAGCTGATCCTTGGGAAAAGCCAGGTATTGGCCTGAACAATGAGGGGGCTGATCTATCAGCACCATATAAATCATGCTCTTTTAGTCATATTAATTGCTCAAAGGTGGAAGCACAAGACAGTACATAATCCAAGGCTTGTTTCAGTTTTGCACCCATAGGGCATCTCTTTGCTTCTGATGGGCCAGATGGGCATTGCCTAGGCCATTTTTGTATATACATTATTTTTTCCACAATAAAAAATATGTTTTTGAAACAAATTAAATTTGTTGAGCTCACATGTTAATTTTGTGGTTCAATGGTTTCTGAGTATGTGGTTTTAGTTGCTTTACTGTGAAAATATCATAGTTTAGTGGTGGCATTTTGTTTTTATAATAAGGTTATAAATTATTTATCACATTTTCATTATATTTTTCAGAGTTTATTCTATACAGAGTTACTTATTTTATACTTTTAACTAGACAATGGCTAGTCCAAGCTCTAGGTTAGATGACTCTTGACATGTTGGAATATTTAGATACAACTGAGAGTGATAGCGACTATATTCTGAAAAGTGACATTGATGATACAAGTGAAGAAGACGAAGAAGATAACATTGCTGATGAAGATTATGGGGAAATTCTGTCAACAGAGCAACCTCTCCCTCTTCCTTTCCAATTCCAAGAACTGTCTGGACCTAAGCATATGTCTCTTCCTGTTTCTCCTCCTATTGCTTAGTTCCATCTCTTCTTCACAGACTTGATCCTTACCCTCATGGTGACAGATATGTGCAGCAAGTGATCAGCAGTAGACCAAGTAATGTTCCCACTCCACTAAAGAACTGAACCAGAATTACCATGTACAAGGTGAAAGGATTCCTCGCCTGTATTATAAACATGGGCATCAGGAAAAAGCCAACCATATCATCATACTGGTGCACTGGTTCCAAAGCTGCCCCGTGGTTTGGAAAAATGTCTACCATGTATTGCTTTTCCTACTTGCTGCACGTCTTCTCTCTTATCAACAATGAAGAACTGCCAGGCCCCAGAGAATCAGACTACGAACCCTGTGCAAGGTACCATCCCCTTGTGAAGCATGCAAACAGGGTAGTCAGGCATCACTACACCCTCATCAAGAAATGAGTGTTGACGAAAGCCTGGTAGGTACCAAAAACAAAGCCAGTCTCATGCAGTGTATGCCTAACAACAACCACCATCGTTGCTGCCACCACCATCACCGCCACTGTTGGGGAGTGAAATTTCAGATGTTGTGTGATTATTGTGTCCAACTACTGCCTGGGGTTTTTCTCACACTGAGGGGTCAGATCTCAGGAAGACAATGAAAACCACCACAAAAATGGCCTGGGGTAAAGAGCTGTGAAAAAAACTGCTTGAGATTGGAGGGTACCTCATCAAAGGCTACCATGTCTTTGTCAACAACTATTTCATGTCTGTTTCACTTGTCTGCCAACTTTATCAGCTAAGGACCTACATCAATGGAACTGTTAGGAGGAACAGAAAATTTTTCCCCAGCAGTTCAAGAACAAATCTGCAGTTGGACAAACAATGTATTGCAGATCTGGTGTTTTCCACAAGAAGAAATCACAAGATGAGGAAGCACTGGGAAGATATGGTGGCAATACACAAATAAAACCAAAAATCATAACATCCTGCAACTAGTTTATGAGTAGCATGAACTCTTCAGTCATGATGCTGCACACTTACTTGCATGAAAGGCGGACAGTGCATTATGGAAAAAAGTAGCCTTCAACATCACAGACAGGATGGTGTTGAATAGCTACATTCTCTACAGAGAAGACTATGGGGGGGGGGCTGGAAAACTGAAATTCAGGTATCAATACACTGTGTCAAAAATCAAGAGCTTGGGAGAGGAGTGGTTGGCACCGAAGGGAAATACTGGAGCACATGATACTTGGGGACCATGCAGAGTCAGAAAGCTTCCCGAAAAGGAGGAGTCCCAATGCACTGTCTGCAGCACAAATGAGAGGAGGCAAAGATCCAGTACAGTTCATTCATTCACTTCCTTCATTCTCCATATATCCATACAGGTAACATACCTCGGATGCGGAAATAGATATATCAAGATACATATGTAAAATTACACCAATCACATAATCAAAATCACTTACATTAATCGAGTAACATAAATAATAATATAAAGTAAAAAAATTAATCAGATTTTAATTAATAAACATAATTTTAACACAACTTACTATAAAACTTGAATTAATACAATTTTATTTAAATTACCTATATTAACCGAATTAAATACATTACAAATTTACACATTTATGAAGAATTATGTTGATAATATTCATTCATGGAATAAAAAGAATGATTATATAAAAACTTCTTCAATGCAGATTTAAAACTTCTCATGTCAGTAGCCAGCATTTTTATTGTTTGAGGAAGATGATTAGAAACTTTAATTCCTGATATGTATGCACCTTTATTGTATTTTGTTAGGTTAACTGCAGGTAATTATAAATTATTGAGGGCTCTACTTTTGTATTTGTGAATCTCACTGTTAAAATTAAATAAATGTTTATTATTAATTGTGTACAAAAGTAATGAATATACTCACATGAACTGAGAGTTCATTATTTCCAAATTCTTAAAAATGTCCCTACAAGACTCTCTTGGTATAGAATTCGTTATAATTCTAATAACTTTCTTCTGCAATATAAAAACTCTGTTAACATAAGAAGAGCCACCCAAAAAATTATACCATAACTTATGATAGAATGTATATGAGCAAAATAAATTAGCTTTAATGTACCTAAAGGTAACAATATATTTCATATTTCTCAATACATAACATGCAATGGGACTTTTATTAAGAACATAATCAATATCCTGTTTTCATGAAAGAGTATCATCAATAATTAATCCCAAAAATTTTGTCTCAGTCACATTTGTTTTGAGTAGTGATATAATAATAATTCATAGGTTGAAACTCGACATACTGAGTCTTATTAAAATTCAAGGTAAACAAATTAGCATTAAACCATGTATTTATATCTTTGAAAGTTTGATTAAGGTTTATTTCACTTAACTTATTAGTGTCAGTAGCTATAATACTGGTGTCATCTGCAAATAATACTGTGACATGTCCAACCATTGCTGGGCAACGGGAGGTGGAACGAGTTACCACGAAGACAGACCCTTGATAAACGGTCGGTTGCCAGGTTACACAACAGTAAGGAAAGCAGTGTTTCTCCATGCCGTGCCAAGTAGAGCCGAAATGAGCCAAGCGGAAGGTATATCATTAATATAAAGCAGAAGAAACAAGGGACCAAGAATTGAGCCCTGTGGAACACTACATTTAATTATTTCCCATTTGGATGAGTTGTTACTGTCAATTCTATTACCCAATACAAATCTTTGATATCTATCTGTCAAATAAGACCCAGTAAGTGTTTTGAATTTTCTTTCAATTCCATAGAATTCCAATTTATCCAATAATATTTTATGGTTAACACAATCAAACACCTTTTGAAAATCACAAAAAATACCTTCCACCATCACAGTTAAAACATTATTTATCAATGTAAAAGCAATGTATGAAAAGATGCAACAAGGGGCTGCATGGAGAATGCTTCCCTAAACACAGGTGCTAACTGCACTGTTTTACATAATGTGATGTAGTTCCGGACCAGAGAGCTCTTCATGCATAGAACTTATATAAAAAAATTAACAGAAAAGTGTTCTCTTTCTTACAGGCTTGGTGACGAGGTGAAGACAATTTTTTTTTGCCTAAATTATGTAAATTTTAAATTTCTATATTTAATTCTTTCAGTTTCTATTTTTTTCAAATTATTCCTAGTGTTAGCACTTGTAGGCTACTTTTATTTAAATGTGCTGTTTATAGTGAATTATTGTGATTTTTTCATACATCTTTGATGGCAAATTGTATTTTTGATTAATTTCTTAAGCAAGACTTGTAAATTCGGCTAAATTCACCTGCGTGTTTCCTGCCAGGTACTTCGAAAACTGGCTGTGTGCAAAGAGCTTAATTTTCCACTTGAAATAAATATTATGACTATATATAAACCATGATTAGCAACACTGATTTGTGACAATCATCAACAAAACCACTGTTTTCCAAGAAATACCCATAGTCTCAAAGATGTAATTACACGTTTTACTTATGTAAAAACCTTGTTTTAATAACAATAACAGACAGCAAATATATTTTGTATAATGAAGAATTTTCTTTTCTTGTACTGTTTTTTAAACTATCGACAACGGGGACCGCCAAAAGAAAATCCATAATCTCATCAATACTAATGCATATCCTGAGGCCGCGCTATAGCTCAAGCGGTTAGTCGCTGGCTTCCCACCGCGGCGGCCCGGGTTCGATCCCGGGGTCTAGTCAAGTGGGATTTGTGGTGGACAAAGTGGCGCTGGGGCAGGTTTTCTCCGAGTACTTCGGTTTCCCCTGCCAATCTTCATTCCACAAATTGCTCCACAATCACCCTCACCTATCATCTGGGGCTGCTACAATAGACCAGAAGTGGGCGCAGTACAAGGGACTTAAGTTCCACCCCACTAGCAATTAAAAAAATGCATATCCTACACAAAACAAAACCGCTTTAGAACACGAAATTGTATCTGTCAATTCCACTACGTACGCATACTGCAACATCATTTGTACAGAAAATTAAGACAACTTATAAAACATGTTAATACAATAATTCAGTTCAGTTTAATTGTAAAAACATTATTGACCTCATAACCTAAAAATATGTGCTACGTTACATATATCATTATTAGTAATTACATATTCATTCATTTGGACTGATTACTTACTGCAAATAAACGCTAAATTTAGTTACGAATGGAAAATTGTTCCAAATAATAGTCCCTTCGGACCCGAAAGCCAGTAGACGCCATTTTAAACAATAAACGAATTCCCATAAACACAAACATTGCAGAATGACGTGACGGACGTGACCGGACGTGACTGACACACGACGCACACGACACAAATGTGTACCCAGAGTTTAATTTCTGGCTCAAAATAGGTGTGTAGTTTACTGCCACCTATTAGATGAAACTCAAACTTAGAGAACTCGGTGTCTGTAGTTCAAGCAACTTTTATTCCTGCATACTCAACCCAGTCCCTAGTGTTTAAATGTCTAGGTATATAGTTAATTAGCATCCATAACAGGATATGGCACAGCTCTCCTAACCTAGTTGAGTCGCGATTGCTCAGTCGGTATTTCAATGGGTTTGACGACTTTAGTTCGATTTCTGGCAGGGGCAATATTTTTTCTTCTCCATAGCGCCCAAATCACCTCTGTTGCCCACCCATCCTCCTGTCTTAATAAGTACCGCACGCACTTGCCGCGGGGTTAAAGCGACAGGGGGAGTAAAACTGAGCACTTACCTTCATCTACAAACAAGGTCATGAATAATTCAGCTGTACTCCCCATCCTACATCATGGTATAGTGCTTAATTAATCGCAGGTGCAATTATACTCTCTTTACAAACCCAGTACCTGCAGTTGAATCATTTTCTTCCACCCCCCAACCCACAAACCCACTTTGTTTCAGTCAGTATGCGTTACAAGTCAGTGTACTTCTCATACCTTCTGTTCAGGCTCAGGATCAGGCTCATCTCATCCTCTCTGACATGATCATTCTAATTATACCTGGCAAGCAGTACAAGTTATGATGCTCCTTGTTAAGCAGTTTTCTTCAACCTCCAACCTCCTACTACTTCATACCTTTTTGGTCCGAATATTCTCCTCAGCACTCTGTTCTCAGACAGCCTCAGTATATGTTCCACCCTTAATGTCAGAAACCAAGTTTCGCACCCATAAAGAACAAGGGGCAAAATTTATGCAAATCCATATAAACACAAAATTCAAAATTAATAAAAATGTCACAACTTTCTTTCAACAGCAAGATCTCTATACTTATTTCATAATTCCAATGCCACTGACAGCCAATTGTATCTGGTTTCACCTCACAATTGAAAAATAAAATAAAAGTCCTAAAACCAAGTTAAGTGTGCACATAAACTTCATAATGCAGAGTTGAAGAATGCACATGTATGTGCACACTGCACCGAGTCCACATTCATTTACATGTAAATGAATTTACTCACAAAAGGGTTAAACCCAAGAGATTTCAACAGGAAATTCTCCAGACAGACTTGGTAGAAACATTCCAGTTCTCGAATATGGTATGTGTACTAAAATGACTATCCAGTCCTTGGTGAAGTTTCCTGCTCTTTTGTGTTCACTGTTGCATAGCAATTCTTGTACAATAAAACATGACACTTTTATAACATTGTTTTAAAACTATGTGTTTAAAAGTACACCCAATAACAATTCAATGGCTATGGCAAAATTTCTCATGGAAGTACCAAATTAAAATATTATCATGTGTTGGTGACTATAAACAGGATTACATATATAAATATTTATTATAATTGACGAACATTTTTAAATACTTTTTAAATTTTACAATGACATAATGGCAAGCAATGAAATAGATTAACGTAAATGGAGCAACTGATGATGGCAATATAGTGCCGAAACATGTTGTGAAATAACAAGTGAAATTGAGTGCACTAAAAGATGGACACTGCATACATATCATGGATGAAAATCAGTGCAACAGGACACTAAAATACAACATTATGAACAGGATTTAGATTGATAACTGGATTTGCTGAACAATTATAACTCATATCTAGAGGTAACTATGTTTCATGGATCTATGCACTCTACAAATCACCATATTCCAGGACACACAAATTCTACTACGTCCTCACCAGTCATCTGGTAATGGCTCCCATCCATGCTTATTCCTCAGCTTTCACACTCATGGCCTTACCAGCTGGTGACTAACTCACACCTCCTAGATCGTCCTTGCTATAGCCTTGGGTTGGACTGCATAGATAACATCATTTTTGACAGTACCTTCATTGTCAATAATGTGTTGGCGAGACGTTGCCTAGTGACAGCTCACTTATGTATCGAGCTGATCCCATGCAATGGACAATGTTTATGTAATTGTGTCACAATTTAATTACAAAAACAATCTTTACCCACAATAAGTAAAAGAAGATGGTGTAAGGGTTCACAATGAAACAAAGAAAACCACCAGAAATGCTACATATATTAACCAACCACATATACCTTCCCAATCCACGTAAACCTAAATTTGAAATGTGTGAAAATACTTAACTTCCTACACAGAACACCATCACACATTCAACTTTTTATGCTATGGACAATGCACTGGTTCTCAGACTTCTTTGAATCTGAAGCTATAAGCATCAGGAGCAGGTTCACTTTATTTTCATTCAAAAATATTCTAAGAATTAGAATTCACATCTGCTTATAAATGGTGGAGGACTTTACTGGCATTAAATCTTATTCTGGAAAGTGTTAAACCATATCAGGACACTAGGATATACAAAAGAAAATTCAGTCATTTAATATTGGCTACTAAATTGAATTGAATTGAATTGAATTTATTTACATTCTATAAATCCTAAGCAGGTTAGTACCTTTGGATACAGAACAAGTCAAAAGGTTACATACATAAGTACAGGCAATTTTAGCTTAAAAATTAATATAACTTAATTTTACATCATTCTCTATTTACATTGAAGTATTCATCTAAAGAGTAGAAGGAATGAGCATGTAGATAATTCTTTAACTCTGATTTAAACTTTTTAGTATCATTGCCCAAGTTTTTAATACTTTGTGGCAGATTGTTGAACACTTTTATGCCAGTAAAGTAGACTCCTTTTTGATATACTGATAAAGTTGATGAGGGTAGGTGGAAGTTATATTTTTGTCTAGTATTCATGTTATAGACATCAGAATTTAATTTGAATTTATCTTTGTTGTAAACAACAAATAGGAGAAGCGATAATATGTATTGCGATTGAAGCGGTAGAATTTTTAATTTCTTAAATAATTCTCTACATGAATCTCTACTTCTACATCCTGTAATGATTCTTATTATATTCTTTTGTATTTTAAAAATTATTACACTATGTGAAGAGTTCCCCCAAAATATTAATCCATAGTTCATAATAGAATGAAAGTAGGCATGGTAAACCATCTTCAATGTTTCCTGTGACATAAAAGGCTTAATTGATCTCATCGCATAGCAAGCTGCATTTAATTTAGGTATAATTTGTTCAATATGTATTTTCCAAGACAGTGTACTGTCTACATGTATTCCAAGGAATTTTGTATCAAGTACTTTACAGATTAATTTGTTGGCATAACTGATGTCCAGATCAATTTGGTGGTTGTTTTTAGTTGTGAATGATATGTAATGGGTTTTATCAAAATTTAATGAGAGTAAATTGGCTTCGAACCATCTGTTTAAGGCTTCAAATACAATATTTATGTCATTTTTAAAGTTGTCAAATTTAGAGTTCTTAAATATTATACTAGTGTCATCTGCATATAGAATTGGTTTAGATTTATTGTTGATGGTTTTAGATAGATCATTTATGTAGAGAAGAAAAAGTAAGGGACCTAAAATTGATCCTTGTGGAACACCGTGCTTTATAATTCCCCAGTTTGAAAATGCATTATGACTGGAGTTTTTATTATTTATTTCAACTCTTTGATACCTGTTTTTGAGGTATGATTTGATCCATTCATTAGCTTTGCCAGTTATTCCATAGAAATTTAATTTCGATAGTAAGATATCATGATTAACACAATCGAAAGCTTTTGCTAGATCACAGAAAATCCCTCCCACAATTAATCTGTCATTGAGAGCACTTAAAATATCGTTAGTTAGTTCATAGGTTGCTTTTTCTGTTGTTAGGTCTTTCCTAAATCCAAATTGCTCTTTGACTAATATGTTGTTAGAATTTAAGTGTTCAAGTAGTCTATTATACATAACTTTTTCAAAGACTTTTGAGAATGAAGTCAATATGGATATTGGTCTGTAATTAGAGATGCATTTTCTCTCTCCTTTTTTAAAAAGTGGTTTCATTACAGCATATTTTAAGCGTTGAGGAAAAGTACCTGATGATAAAGATTTATTACATAGATGATTCAAGGGTGAACTGATGTAAACAGAGCTTGCTTTAAGTAATTTGGTAGAGATTTCATCATATCCATGTGAATTTTTGGGCTTAAGGGATTTAATAATGTTTTCAATTTCCTTCCTTGTTGAGAATTTGAGATTTATATTTGGAAATGAATTGTTAAAGGCACGTGACAGATAGTATATTGGATTAAATGACTATACAAATCATCTACATTGTACACAGAATGACAACAGGTTTTACAGAACAAACACAAAGTGGCTAAAAACGAAACATTACAAAAGAAATGGAAATAAGCTAAAAAAAACCTTAAGTCAAGGTAAGGGCTAAATGCTCTGATCATCGGGGATGGATAAACCTCACTCAATGCTACATGCTTTGATGCACTGTATGTGAAATTAGTACTATCACAGCACAAGTACAATGTAGAGTGATTGCAGTAACATGGTTAAGTGCTTAATATAAATGTATTTCTTTCAGCCACACAACAGCTTTCAGTCAGCAACAACCATCCAAAAACTCAGATAAAAATAGAATGTGAAAAATGTTCACAATGACCACTTACAAAAACAAGTACATGTTTTAAGAAAACGGTTAAGGTCCCTATTTAATGAATATCTCGGTGGTGAGTTTTCTCACACTAAATTGTAGTTGCCATTAAATGCAGGTTACGGAAAATTACATTAAGAAACTGTCCTTCATCTAAGACTTACTGTATATAGTAATTATGATAACATAATTTCTTTAGATGCTGGTCACGGTAGCCGAGCGGTCTAAGGCATGCGCTGTCTTCGCTCGCTCAGAAGCTGGGATCGTGGGTTAGAATCCCACTCAGGGCATGGATGTTTGTGTGCGTTTTTCTGTGTTTGTCTACAGGTAGAGACCTTGATCGCTCGCCCAAGGAGTCCTACTGTATGTGTAAGATCTAGAAAAACCGAAGTGAACGGAGTTCATGGAGGTAGGCCTAGGCCCACTGGGGCTGTAGTGCCAAGGGGGGGGAATTCTTTAGATACTCATAAGTAGTTAATGAAACTCTTTCTACACAAAAAAGTACAATTACATGATCAGTTGTATTAATTAACTGGTAATAATTTCCAGAATAGAAAAATCTGTAACAACTCTTTTGATCACGATCACATTAAATCAAAGTACAAGGTCTAGAAGGCTGAATATCTCTAACATTACGCGCAAGCTATTTACAAAATCAAATTCAAGCAGTGTGAGAAAATAATAGGTTTGTTTATATCAGATTTTGGCAGGGATCGGGAAAAATATTCACTAAATGCAGAAACACTGAACTGGGATTTCATTGTACATTATCACATACATGCCAAGACATTACTGATTTTCAGATATGAATCGCCACTTCTTATGATGCTATTTTTTATCTTAAGTAATTTGTATCTCCAATAAAATGCTTTCAAAGCCTCTGTTGAATAATGTCATTTATCTCTGATTACATAGCACTGTATTATTAATAACCCTATAAATAAACACATATTAACAAAAGATTAAGACATCTGATGTGGTAAACTATTGATATTTATCAAAAATATAAAAAATTATGGTGTAGGTAGATAAAGACGAAACCAACAGTCAATAACCCATTTAAGATAAGCAAATATACATTTCACAAGTTCCAGTTAAGTCACTAGTGATTACAGTCAACAAGTCAAGGAGCCACAGACAAACTGTTTCTAAAAATATAAAATATCTTCACCCTTCATAATATCTTCCTAACATTACTTACAACTTGTGACTCCATCTACACTGGTGGGCAAATGTGCAGAAATATCAGTTTATGTGCCATCCGATAAAATCCGGTACTCAAAGCTTAACACCAGAGTGGATAAGTTTATGAGCAATGGGAGTTTGATAAAACTTTTAGGGAATGCATATAACATAATTACCAAGTAATCTCTTGTGAAGATTCTGTCGGATTACAAAATTCGATTAATTTCCAAAACACGTTTAAATAGTTGTTAGCAATGACACACAATAAGCAACAAAATCTGTCTCTCTGTTACTCTCAAACATTAAAAACATATTAACAACATGTACTTTAAACTTGCTAAACATATTTTAGATGACTGATACAGTTGATATTTGTAAATATTAACAAAAATACAAAAATACAAAAAAGACAGCTTGCTACATAGATGGATGAGTCAGTGAGATCCGTAAAGACAATGATGAAGCAGGTGATTGTGGTGATACAGAAGGGGATTGAATTGGTGAAAAAAATCATCAGTACTTTGTTTTGTATTCACGGTCATGGAAGTTAATGGTAAAATTTCACTAGAGGTATTTGATAATCTGTTGGCCATCAGGTCTTTACAATATTCTCCATTTCTAGTTGCTCCCAACCTTCGATTTCTCACACAACAGTACATGTGCCAGAAAGGTTGAGTGGCTGGGCCAAATTTCTCTTTCTCCCCTTGCATTCCTCCATCACCTCTCACATAATACTTTAATTCCCACATCCCTGCCACTCATTGCAGAAAGCACTACTACTTTAATTAGTTAGTTATGTATTTCAGTTTTATTAAGATTGTTATAAATTATTTGATCATATTAAAATTAAATCACATTGTTCAAATTGCAGATAATGATGAATATCTGTACTCAAAATCTGTAGTAAGAATTCTCAAGAGATTTTGTTAACGCCAATCAGAGGGAGAGAATCTATTTACACCAAACTACATTTTCTATGGATTAAACAAAATTCGGGTTTTATTAACATTAATAATCTTTTATTGACCAAATTAAAAAATAACTGTTCTGTTAGCCACATCACTTAATTTACAATACAATTTCCTGTGCTTTTATTAACATAAATGAAATGTAGTGTCACTGCAGGCTACACTTTTTCATTTGACTAAATACTTCCAAACAAGCTAAAACTTAGCCAAACCACTGAATTGAATAGATACAACTCCTCCCATATAGGGTCAAAGTAAACTGTAGCAGTCAACATCCCACATTTGCGTTACACACTGCAAATCATACATGAGATCTGAAGACTAAAGGATAATCAAATGTTTGAACACAATTCAGCAGTCCCTTAGTCTTATAAAATCTTCGACACACATTCTTGTGCTTGTGGATGCCTCCGATCTGAGCTCTTTCATAGTGCTTGCCTCTTGCCCTCTCCTTTACAGCCTAACCAAACTATCCACTGGCAACACTAAATCCACAATCCTGCACACAGACAATTTAGGAAGCCAAAATGCTTGTGTGCATCACTCTGGAAGTCCCAGCATACAACTGTTTGAACTGATAATGTATACATTCAAAGAACACACAAGTTACATGATTAAATAAATTCATACCTGTTGAACCAAGAATCTGTGGTTAAAAATTAGGGATAAAAATATGGTATTTAAAAATTTATGTTCGGGAATAAACTATGAATATACGAGGGGAAGTCAATAATTATCCGCAATGCAGTTGTATCTGTGTTTCTGTTGGCAGCACTGTCGTTTTGCACAACATCGCCATGCGTGGTTTCCTTGTCACTGTTTCTGCGCACATTTGATGTTGCTAGGTCAGTTCCATCATCGCTGCCTTGCTATTAATCATGGCTGCTCTGCTTTCTGTTTGCACCAAAGAAGAGCAACAATCGGTGATCCGGTTTTTGTGGTCGGAAGGTGTATCAGGGGCCGCGATCCATCAAAGACTTTCAGCACAATATGGGAACAGTGTTTTGCCGCAATGGAGTGTCTACGAATGGATTGAAAAATTCAAAAATGGTCGCACAAGTGTTACACATGAGGAAGGAGCCAGACGACCATCCACAGCCACAAATGAGGACAACAGTGAGCGTGCACATGACATGGTTCTGTTAGACAGACGAGCGACTATTGATGAAGTGGCAAATCGTCTGCAAATTAGTTATGGTTCTGCCTATGAAATCATCCACAACAGACCTGGGTTTCATAAAGTCTGTTCAAGATGGGTCCCAAAATAACTCACAGTGTTGCATAAACAAACACGCTTGGACATCTGCCAACAACATTTGGATCACTATGGTAACGAACGTGACGTCTTCTTAGACAGAATCGTCACTGGTGACGAAACATGGATCCATCATTGTGAGCCGGAGAGTAAACGGCAGAGTATAGAATGGAAACATCCACAATTGCCCAGCAAGAAAAAGTTCAAAAGCCAACCATCTGCAGGAAAACTGATGCCTACAGACTTTTGGGACTCACAAGGCCCAGTACTGGAACATTATCAGGAGAGGGGCATAACAATAAACAGTGCTCGTTACAGTGAAATGCTTACTGACAGGCCAAAGCCTGCAATTCAAAGCAAACGCCGAGAAATACTTTCAAAAGGTGTTGTGTTGCTGCACGACAATGCTCGTCCACATACTGCTGCCCACACTGCTGAAACCCTCCGGAAACTCAAATTTGATGTAATGGCTCATCCTCCGTATAGTCCTGAACTCGCCCCTTCTGACTACCACTTGTTTGGTCCACTCAAAGAGGCATTAAGGGGCCATCGATTCACCTCAGACCAAGGAGTGAAGGAAGCGGTGCATGTGTGGCTCGCTGCTCAGCCGAAAACCTTCTTTTCTGAGGGCATCATGAAGCTTGTGCAACGATGGACCAAGTGCGTTGAAAAGCAAGGGGACGATGTTGAAAAATGATGTTAATGTAAGTTTTCTATTTGTATTTAAATAAAATTTATAGCTACATTGCGGATAATTAGTGACTTACCTACGTATATAAAATTTCTGCATTAGAAAATTATCATTTCTAGAACTGAAATAAATCTTTCCAAAGATTTAAATATATAGGATAGTTTATTTACTGTGGGGGGGGGATCTCTGAAACTCAGTGAATATTGCTCCTACAAAAGAATAAATACAACTTTAAATAGGTATATTAACTTAAAACCTTTGAAGGAAAAAATGACTAATATACTAACACAGAAATTTTGTTTCTCATTACTTCTGTACCATGGTGAAAGCCCATTCCTGGCCACTGCACAACTGGTGCCCAGAGTTGGGCTGTCATAAGGAACGGTAGAGCTTGTAGATTTTTTTTTTTTTTTTGCTCACAAAAATGGTGCAAGAAAGTTTGTCAGTGAAATGTTTAATGTCCGTTTTCTTAAATACAATCGGTCCCTGCTTTGTCTTGATGGTTTTTCACCTCTGAACACAAATTCCACAAGTATGCAAATTCACATAAAAACGTCTGCAAATGGGGATGCATTCAATGATTCTGCATCATACAGTCTTGTTAGGTTTCTCTGTTAAATCAATTATGAATCAACAAGAGCAAGTTGGTCTCACAGCACAGTCTGCTTTAAATATCAGGAACCACTGTTCAAGCCATGAAACAAAGGGCTAAATGTAAAGTTACTTAACATCCATGCAGTCTCTGAACATACAGGAAGCTCTGTTCTACAGTTTACCATCCTGCATTAAAGTTCTACTTCATGCCAATTGAAACTGTTGGATCTGATCAGGGTATGTGTAGATTACAGTCTCTGTCTGCCCATTCTGGTCTGTTGTGAGGATGTTGCCTGCCAAAGCCTGAGCATCTGCAAACAAGTTACAAATTCTAAACTCTTTGGCTCTAAGATGATAGCTTTAAGATAAAAATGGGAAATGTAATTACACAAATGACAATCTCAAAAAGTTTTGGTCAGAGATGAGTTTCACCTTACATATTCTGCAAAGACAAATTATAATTTATACTTCACACAGTTTTTCAGCAACTTCTTAATCACACAGCATAGTCAGCTATCTGAAACATGTTCTATGGAAAACAAAGTAATATGTGCACAACATGGCTTCTTTATGGGTTCAAGTTTCATGTGAGATTTACAGTGTAAACACAGTCCAACAAGCATAAAGAGAACCATCATTTAGTTGCAAACGTTTATGTTACATACTGTGTGCAAAATCATTTCACACAAAATGAGAGCTTCTTCCAGCACTTTCATCAGTATGAGTAATCCCATAATTCCTAACTAGCTGAAAACTTTTTCTGCAAATTTCTGTACCAACTGTACTTGTAGTTTTGCTTCCCAGGCTCAGTCTGTAGAAGTATGGTTTACTCACTTTCTGAGACTCTTCCTTGTCTAGAAGAAAGTATGCATCTCAGAATCTAAATACAAAATTTTCTGAACCTTAAGGAGCCACTCTCAGCATGCAAGTATAGAGCACTGCAATAAGCAATCAAAAAACACTCGCCATCCCATGTAAATGTGCTGTGTGTGTGTTGGGTTAACCCTAATTATGGAAATGAAATAGAATGGCTTAGACTTAAACACAAAGTCTGAAGTAATATGTCTCTGTGAAGGAAGGTGCCCATCAAAGAGTGAAAGAGCAAAATACGTGGTGTATCAAAAAGTTCCCAAAATTTGAATTTTGCGCATGAATGGTTGAGTATATCGAAATACTGCTAGGTGTCTCCCCACACACCTTTCTTGAATCAGTGTGGCAAGCAGCGTCAAGTTGAGTGGTTGGGTTTGTTGTTGGTGAACGTATTTCCATTGTTGTGTTTCCATGAGTTTGCAGTTTTGCGATGGCTGACTTGAGAGAGCAGCATGTCTGTGTAAAGTTTTGTTTTAAACTTGGGAAAACTGCCGCAGAAACGCACCAAATGTTGAAGCAAGCTTTTGGTGACAAGAGCTTAAGCCAGACACAAACTTACGACTAGTATAAGCGTTTCAAAAATGGCTGAACATCGACTGATGCCATCAACTGGCACCACAACAGAAAATGTCGCGAAAGTTAGGGATCTGATTCTTCAAGATCATAGACTGACCATCCAAGACCTCTGTAACACCTTGACACTAAGTTATGGTATGATCAGCTGTTTTATGTGATGGAAGACCAGTCACACAGAATGAAGAACTGGATTCCACACTCTTTGAGTGGTTTTTCCAGGAATGATCAGATGCTGTACCAGTTAACAGACCAAGGCTAAAGCGAATGATTTTACAGCACACTTCAAAATCACGAACATTCAGCTGTCTGAGGGAAGGCTTTAACATTTTGAAGTGAGAAAAGATAGTAGTATTACTATGCTCGTAATGTCAAGAGACTGTACTGTGTTGAGAAGTGGCCCATAATACAGTGTGGCATATTTGCCCCATGCAAGAACAGCTGAACCACAGAAACAAACGTTGCTAAGTAATACATGCACACAACAATACAGAGTGTATCACAACTCAACGGCAAAACTTCAGGAATGGACTCCTCATGTAGAGAGAAGAAAAAAGTATATGACAACATGGGTCCGGAAATGCATATAATTACAGAGTAGTAATTGTGTCTGCACGCCACTGAAAAGAATTGGCGACATGAGTGCTTTCTATCGGTGGGTCGGCCTTTCACTGGGAGGACAGCTCTATGATTATCATGACATCACCTGTGATTACTTCGTGATATATTTTCCTTGTAACTGTCTTGAACAAAGTCCAAGTCAAAGTGAAAGTCACATTGCGACTGGTTGTCAGTCAGTCAATCTTGGTGTCGAGCCCAATCTGGGGCTCATGACCAGATATTTATTACTGTTTGACAGTTTAGGTCTTGTTATTGTGAGGTGCCCTCTCTGACAAGAGGATGGGTCTCTCTTTTGTCAGAGATTCTGTTTGTAGTAGTAAGTCATTTGACATAATGTAAATGATATTTACATTTTACACGTTAAACATGATAACAAATGCATTAAATATATACAGGGCCTCTGTCAGTCCAGGCTCAGTACAGCAGATTATGCCCTATTTCTAGTAGCTTCCGCTATAATGGCAGTTTAGTCACTTGAACTGTCATATGCTTGACTGCCACCAAGTTTAAGCTTCTTGTACTTTCTATGTCAGGCTTTGCCTTGTCCAATATTGCGAACATTTTCATTATCATGATTTTGTATGGCTTCCACTTATTGCCTGTAAAATTTTGTTGTACAATAATATAGGTTCGGAATTTGAAAAGCCATGAATTTGAAAGTAAATGTCGAACTGGTGTGCGCGTTGGAAAATTGCCAATGGTGCGGAGAACCTTGTTTTGTAGGCGCTGCAATTTCACTAGACAGGTATCTGCCGTGAATTCTCAGGCGGGACTAGCATAAGTCATTTAAGATCTAATGAGAACTTTGTGGAGGGTCAGTTTAATGTTAGTGCTTAATCTCTCACTTTTGAATAGGGAATACAATCTTATAAATGTTCTGAAGGCCTTTGCTTCGATCATTTTTACGTGCAATCTACATGTAACCCTCCTATCAAAGATTACTCTGAGATATTTTACACAATTTACAAATGGAATATATCTTCCATTCAATGTTAAGATGAGACATAGGTGGATGACAATTGTGAGAGAAGTAGATCCCTCGAGTCCTATCATCATTAATTTTTATATTCCTGGTGTGAGCATTCTGAAATGTTTGCACCACTTTAAAACAATACTCTTGCTCATAGGAGATTCAGCATAAACTGTCTTTAACATCTCTAATGCTTCTCTTGATTATTTCTGCAGTTTAATACAAAATTTCACATTCACTCTCTACTTCACCATAAGCTCCATTTTCACGTCTGGACAAAGTTGAAGACACACAGTGATCTAACGAGCTACTGTTCAACAAATACTGAATGCAGCTCATCCAAACTTTTCACTCGAGCTAGGTCTTGTTGCATCACCTAACATCCCAAGTATCATCACTGCCCACCGAAAGACACACAGTGATCTAACGAGCTACTGTTCAACAAATATTGAATGCAGCTCATACAAACTTTTCACACAAGCTAGGTCTTGTTGCACCACCTATATTTTTCTTTTATTGCTAGTGGGGTGGGAATAAGTACCTTGTACTGAGGCCACTTCTGGCCTATTGTACCAGCCCCAGATAATAGGTGAGGGTGATTGTGGAGCAATTGATGGAATGAAGATTGACAGGGGAACCAAAGTACGCAGAGAAAACCTGCCCCAGTGCCACTTTGTCCACCACAAATCCCACTTGAACAGACCTGGGATCGAACCCGGGCCACCACAGTGGGAAGCCAGTGACTAACCGCATCAGCTATGGCGCGGCCTTTGCACCACCTAACATCCCAAGTATCAGCCTAGCCAGACTTCCCACCGCAAAATGAAAAATGAGTCCAGGAACTTATTCGTGAGACCTTCTATTAATGTTATGTTTCATATGAAATTAAAATACTGAAAACTGTGCTATATATATTTGCAACAGTTTCACTGTACTTACTGAAAGCATCTTCAGTCATTTCCTCATACATCTCACCAGAGCCCAAGGTTTTATCACCTTTGGTTGCCTGGGGGGAAAAAAAAATATTATTACCAACAGCATGTTCATAATGCACACAGTTTTGTGATGATGTATAATAAAGGAAAATAGCCTCTGCAACTAAATTCCATATAATTAAGAAGTGAATAATGAGGCAAATTCCACACATTCTAGACCTTGGCACTAGATGGAGGTGAATATCTCACTCAGTTCACTTTACTCCTTGGGAAAGCACCTATGTAAATATTAGACAGGGACCCTGAGCATTCCAAAATGATGGTGTAGACAGTGACAGTTTCTTAATCTTAAGCAGTTGGTACAACTCCTTGGACAGGGGATCAGACTGCCACAATGCCCTTACCTATGCATGACAATTCAAACACAAAATAAATGCACAAACCCATGCCTTGAGTGGGATTTGAACCCATGATCCCAGTACTCAAGCAAGCAAAGACTGTTCATGCTTCAGACTGCACGGCACTGTGATTGCCGTCTTTATGCATAGTAGTTATATATTATGTAGAACTTCAATCACAGTCTGCTAAGTCATGACCAATTCACTCTGTTTTTACAGATTGATATATCATGTGTATAGTGTGTAATAATTTTCTTCCATTAATGAGGTAAAAGTAAAGGTATCTCTGTAACAGGCCGCTGAGGCCTATTGGGTTGTGAAATGTTGAGGGTCCCACATTTTCTAGACAATCGGCTCATACATGGCGGCAAGGTTGTCAGCCTTACGCGCTGGCCGCCCTTTACCCCCAAGAATATTCCTGATATTCAATTCTGTCTGAGGCTGAGTCAACCCCAGGGCCATAGTGCAGCTGGAAGGATTAGGTAAATTGAAAAAAATCCAATGACCTCATCGTGATTCGATTCCACAACCTTCCGGCTTGTAGCACAGTGCCCATTTATGAGGTAGACATATTAATTCCTTGCAAATCTGGCCAAGCTACTGCTTTGTCTTGTGTCAACATATCACTTCATACACTTCACACACAAATTTTCCATGTGGTTTTAATACAGTCAACTCTCGATTATCCGCGGGTGGAAAAACCGGTTTGCAGCTTAACCGGGGCTACTGAGGCTTTTTTGAGGCTTATATGTTGTTTAATATTCATTCACTTTTGTTTCACATGGCGAGTTGTAACACTATTTTCACACTAGTGTCAACCGAGCTCTGCATTCTTTGGTCCCGTTATGCTAACACAATGTTCTAGGGTAGGGGTGAAAGATTGCAAGGATTTGTGGAAAGATTCAAGGACAGATACATCGCCCCAGTTAGTATCTTTGTATCAATCTTCAAGTGTGTTAGCAAAATGTCAGGGTGTAAAAGGAAGCGTGTTGTGTTAAGTATTCAACAGAAAAGGAAAATGCTGCGAAAAAGTAAACGACAATATTAAATTTTTTTAAGTGTTAATATTCGTAAAAAGTGTTGGATGTTGTTGAAGACTGTGATTGAAATAACTAATTCATACTTCAGTGTAATGTAAAATAAGTATTAAATAGGCCATGAGATGACATAAAAATGAGGCTGAATAAATTTAAATACAGGCAGGCCTATAGTATTATGAAGGTACAGTATTACAGTACTACTTTTAATAAAATTTGTCTTAACCGGGTTTTTGATTAATCGTGATTTCCATCCCCACCATTATCCCGGATAATCCAGAGTTGACTGTATCTCTATTTTAAAAGCTGGTTGAGAAGTAGCATTTACATAATGCTTTTGCTCTTTGGTATTATCCTTTTTGTTCTTATAATCATGTAAGTTTATGTATAACATTGATGGTTGTGTGGAGATGTTGCAACATAAGTCTGTCAAATATGAAGATCAACTGTTTGTAACTCATTCTCTACTAATATTAACATATGGACTTCCACAGAGAATGAATGAATCCTGCAAACAGCTGATGGCTTTCTAATACAAACCTCTCTGTATTTTTGAAGATACAGCTTTAGGGGTTCCACGTAATTATCAAACCCAAGTGTTGTCATTGCAAATAAGATATCTTCTCCATTGATTGTTTTCCTTTTCTCCATATGGCAGCGATCACTAGCTTCACTGGTAATAAAACTAATGAACTCTGAGACACATTCCTGCACACATTCACGAGCATCCTTCGCAATCTTTCCAGGTTCTGGTATTCCTCTCTTCATTATTTTGGCAATGTTGGCAATTGGCAAAAAACGGTCTTGTTCTCGTAGTGGATATCCAGGTTTGTCTCCACCACCTTGATTTGAGTCATCTGTGTTTTCTGCTGTAAGGGCTGCATCTCCATCATCTGGCGGAAAAGTTGAGAGAAATAACAATGGAAACAGAATGGCACTGAAAATGTTTAACAGTGAGCTTCTGTAATTTTATATATTCTGCTAACTCTCATCATTCCAAAACATATTGTGACATGTTGCGCAATGGAGGACAACCTTTCCCTGCCCAGCAGTGACGTGACAGGTGAGTCGTTCTCCCCCTCCACGGTGATGTAACACGCAACGCAGCTGTGATATGGGTAACAGCCAACAGCGGTACCCACTGCATAACAGGCAGGCGCTGCAACTATATAAGTGAACCACACAGCCTACGAAGCGAGTTGAAATGTGGCCGTCGCCGAGCTCAGTTGTTGTTGTTGTGAGTTAAAACATAGCCACCGCCGAAGTTAGTTCTCAAGCTAGCAGCCTACGAGTTGAGTTGAAATATAGCAGCAGTCGCGGTAAGAAGACCCAAATGCGTGGTTACAAGATTTTATGTGACAGTGTGGGATAACTAAGAAGTCAGCAAGTGGAAGACTTATTGTGTGCTTTCAAGACTTTGTGTGTGCTGTAGTACAGTTATATTTGGAGTGTGTAATTCAGAGTGACTTGTATAGCTCCCGCGTTATTAATACGTGAAGACTCTTGAAGATAGTGTGAACAGTTTATTGCGAATAGGGTTATAAAGTGTGAAACCCCACAACAGTGTAATTAGATTATTGCGAATAGGGTTATAAAGTGTGAAACCCCGCAACTGTGTTATTATTAATTGTAGCCAAGACTTGTAGGTTGTTAAATAAACCAATTAACAATCCAAACGGCGTCTTCAGTAACGAAACACGTTACACTGGTGTCAGAAGTTCGATCAGTAACTAAAACACGTTACATTTGGTGTCAGAAGTGGGATTGTGAACTTATACACGCGAAAAGAACATGGAATCACAGCAGATGATTGAACTCCTGCTGAAGGAAATCAGAGCTGATCGAGAAAAAACACATACCATGCTGGCGAAATTAGACGCCAACCAAAAACAAACCGACGTCATGCTGACAAAACTAGACGCCTACCAAGAAAAGGCGTCGGCCGATAGAAAAACTGACAAAGAAGAAATGCTGGCATGAATGGACGCCAGCATGAAATCCTACCAAGAAAAGCCGGAGGCCAAAAGGAAAACCGGCCATAAAGAGTTGCTGGCCATTATGGAGGCCAACCAAGAGGAGAGGAGAGTCGGCCAAGAAAAACTGCGAGAGAAAATCAAAACTGACAAGGAAGAAATGAAGGCGGAAATGCGATCTATGCGGTCAGAGTTGGATGAGACGCTCCAACATGAAACTGAAGCTATCCAAGCAACGACGGCCGCCATGCGAGAAAAGGGTGAATGCCAACCACAATGAGACTATGGCCTGCCAAGAGATGGAGGCACATTCAGAAGAAGAGCCGGCCTCAGTGAACAAGAAACCTGAGGCGGCAGAATTACGAGAGGTACCCGTAGAAGACGCCGAAGTAATGCTGGTTGGAGAACCGAAGAAGAGAAGGCGTAGGGACCGAAATCAGCGAAAAATGAATTCGACACAAGAAAACTGTGGACCCCGGATGAAGAATCCGACACGAGGAAGTCGTGGATCCCGGATGAAGTTGGCTGCCACCTGCAGGAAGACATCCCGTAGCACGACAGTGGCACGACATTGCAGAAATGCCTTCAAGAAGGAAACTCCCCAGGGAACCTTCGGATGCCAGCGGAAAGAAGTGACAGCCACCGGAATAAAGATTACACACTGTGCAGGACACAGGCACGTGGAACGAAACAAGGATGATGTGACGTTCGGGAAGACTGTGGAAAGGCCCAGAACGCAACCGAGGCCTGAGACAGGAACTACAACGCAGAAATGAAGTGGAGGACCTAGGCGACAGAAAGCCGTGATATGTGAAGAAACCAGACCTGAGGAAAACTGCAAGACTGCAGATCGCCAAAGGAGTAGCCGGATTTTCTGTCGGCCTACGACAAGGCAAGGATTGGACCCTGTGGAGGGGACGACCCCCTCCAAAACGGAAAAAGATACTTCAAGCAGAGGAGGTACCGGTAATGTAGAGGTACCGGCCTCTTGATAAGGAGTGCATGCGCGACGAATGAGTGTGATACAGTGGGATCTTCTAGGCAACTTAGCAGGAAACCGCTCAAGGCGAGCAGGTCTTCAGAGGGGAGCGGTTGTAACGGCCGGATAAGAGTTGCTGCGAGGAGTAGCCGAAACAAGAGACGAGAAAGCACAGCCTCCAAAGAAAAGGAACGGGGGTGCAACGTTAGGCTATTCGGGACGAACAGCCTTAAGGAGAGAGCAGTGTGACATGTTGTGCAATGGAGGACAACCCCTCCCTACCTAGCAGTGACGTGGCAGGTGAGCCAGCACTCCATTCCCCCTTCCATGGTGACATAACACGCAACGCAGCTGTGACACGGGTAACAGCCGACAGCGGTTCCGATTGCGTAACAGGAGGACGCTGCGACTATATAAGAGAACTACATTGCCTACGAAGACAGTCGAGTTGAAATGTGGCCATCGCTGAGTTCAGTTGTTGTTGTCAGTTAAAAGTGTATCAGCCGCCAAAGTGAGTTCTCCAGTCAGCAGCCTACAGTTGAGTTGGAGTATAGCAGCCATCGTGGAAAGAAAAACCGGTCGTGTGTGTAATTATGTAATTGGGAGTGTGTGATACAGGGACACTTACATAGCTCCGTACTGTGAATACGTGTAGACTACTGGCAACAGAGTGAATTGATTTGCGAATAGGGTTATAAAGTGTGAAACCCTGCAACAGTGTGAACAGATTATTGCAAATAGGGTTATACAGTGTGAAACCCCGCAACTGTGTTATAAATAATTGTAGCTGATACTTGTAGGTTGTTAAATAAACCAATTCACAATCCTAACGGTGTCTTCAGTAACGATACACATTACACTGGTGTCAGAAGTTGGATCAGTTATGATACACGTCACAATATTGTGCACATTCTGCAACAAAATACACTCCTATATATGTTCAGAATTTCACACAAAAAAAAATAATACTTCCGAAAACAGTGTTTCTGCTTTTTGTTTACCAAAATTTTCCATCCATATAAGTCATACTAAACTACTACAGTACTATGACACTACCACTTTTTGCACAACATAAGCATTTTAATTTAAATTTTATCCAGAATGGTCTAAGACAAGGAGATGCTTTATCACCAGGGCTGAAATTAAACGGGACACATCAGCTATTGGTCTACGCCAATTGTGTGAATTATGTGATAATATAGATACCATAAAGAAAAACACACAAACTTTAATTGATGCAAGTAAGGAAGTTGGTCTAGAAGTAAAGACAGAGAAAACTAAGTATATGTTGCTGTCTCGTCACCAAAATGCAGGGCAAAATCATGACATAACAATAGAAAACAAATGTGGCACAGTTCAGATAATCGGGAACAACTATAACACATCAAAACCTGATTAAGGAGGAAATTAAGAGCAGATTGAACTTGGGTAATGCTTGCTACCATTCAGTCCAGAACCTTTTGTCTTCTCATCTGCTGTCCAAAAACATAAAAATTAGAATATACAAAACTATAATTTTGCCTCTGATTCTGTATGGGTGTGAAACTTGGTCTCTGATATTAAGGGAGGAACACAGACTGAGGGTGTTGAGGAGAATATTTGGACTGAAGGGGGATGAAGTGACAGGATGCTGAAGAAAACTGCATAAAGAGGAGCTTCATAACTTGTACTCTTCTCCAAGTATAATTAGAATAATCAATTCAAAGAGGTTGGGGTGGGCAGGGCATATAGCACGAATGGGGGAGAAACGCTATGCATATAGGATATTGGTGGGAAAGCCAGAAGGAAAGAGCCCACTGGGAAGACCAAGACATAGGTGGGTGGAGAATATTACAATGGATCTTAGAGAGATAAGATGGTATGGTATGGATTGTATTGCTCTCGCTCAGGATTGAGACCAGTGGAGGGCTCTTGTGAACACGGTAATGAACCTTTGGGTTCCATAAAACGCTGGGAAATCCTTGAGTGGCTGCACAATTGGCAGCTTCTCAAGAAGGGCTCAGCTCCATAATGACATGACACATGACTTGTTATTGTAAACTATGATAACAGAGTCATACAAGGGTTGGATCTTTAATACTGGCAACTATTTATTTACAACTGATACAAAATAGATGCATGTTTCAAAGTTTTACTGTCCTTCAATGTAGTCACCAGCATTGTGTACAACCCATTGCCAGCGATGTGGAAGTCGTAGGATACCTTTAGCAGAGCCTGTTATGCTGATAGTTAGAATGGAGCGGTCTACTGCCTGAAGAATCTCTGGAACAGTTCTGAAGCGAATGCCACGAAGTGGTTCCTTCATCTTAGGAATCAAGTGGGAGTCACATGGGCTTAAGTCCGGGGAGTATGGTGGATGGTACAGCACTTCCCAGCCCCATCAATCGAACAAATCAGCCACAGCTTGCACTGCATGCGGCCCGAGCACTGTCCTGCAAAATAATGGGTTGGTTCTGCAGAAAGTGTGGCTGCTTCTTTCTCAAATCTGGTCACAGGTTGTGTTCCAAAAATGAATAGTAATACTGTGCACTGATGGTCTGCTGTCGGAGAACGGTATGAGTGAGGATAACACCATCACAGTCGTACATTAGAATCACCATAACTTTCAAACTGCTGGGGTTCTGATGAACTTCTGATTTTCGTGGTGACCCGTAATGATGACATTCGTTCAATTGCCGTTTGATTTGTGGCTCGTACTATTTGGCCCATGTCTCATCCAGCGTAATGATACGGCATAAGAAAGCCTCTCCTTCACGCTCATAGCACTTCAAGTGGTTATGAGCAGTGTTGTATCGTAGCCATTTCTGCATTTCTGTCAAATCATGCGGAACCCATCGTGATGCAATTTTTCTCATGCCCTGGTGTTCCTTCGGAATATGAAGCACAGTCGTATGCACTAATGCTGTCTCTCGGGCCAGCTCACGAATTGTATGGCATCGAT